ATCAGGGTGCTGCATGTGCTGCTGCTTCTCCTTTTCCTGCTACTCCCTCTCGACCTCCTCCACCTGCTGCTGCTGCTGCTGCTGCTGCTGCTGCTGTTACTACTGCTGCTGTTGTTGTTGTTGTTGTTTGGGGTGTATATGCAGGTGAACATGTTATATGCGGCACGGGGGAGTTATATTTAGATTGTCTGCTGCACGACTTGCGGCTGCTCTATGCAAATATGGAGGTTAAAGTTAGCGACCCAGTTGTTAAGTTTTGTGAAACGGTGAGTTAAATTAAATTAATTTAATTTAATTTAATTTAATTTAATTTATTTAATTTAATTCAATCAATATGCAGCTTTGTACGCATTCGTATTGCGTATGCGTTGCTGCTGAGAAGGGTGTTGCTGAGGATGCTGTTGCTGCTGTTGTTGCTGTTGTTGTTGTTGTTGTTGTTGTTGCTGCTGCTGCTGCTGCTGCTATGGCTGGTCCTGCTGCTGCTCGTATTGGTGGTGGTGCCGGTGCTGCTGCTTCTGCTGCTGTTGTTGCTGTTGCCACATCGTTTGTGCTGCTGCATCTTCGATTCCGTTTGTTTTTCCTGCGTTTTGTTTATCTTTTTGTCGTTCGTCTTTGTAAAATATTTTAATTCTTTTTTATGTTTTTATGTTTTTATGTTTTATATTTTGTTGTACGTTTGCTGTTTATTTTTAATTAAATTTTTCTTTTGTCTATTTTTTTATTTCTTTATATTTGTTGATTGAGTTCTCTCATTCTTTTATTAATTATTTGTTTGATTTCTTTTTATTTATATTTAAATCCTTTTATTGTTTTATTATTTATTTTTGCAATATGTTTATTTATGTTTAAATGCTTTCACTCTCTTACAGGCTATTTCTTTTATTTGTTATTAGATATGTTTTAAATCTGTAGATGTTTAACGAAGTAATTTTAATTATTTGTTTATTAATTTATTATTTAGGTTGTGGAGACGAGTGCTCTGAAGTGCTTCGCCGAGTCGCCTAACAAAAAAAACAAACTCTTCATGATTGCAGAACCCTTAGAAAAAAGAATTGCTGAAGATTTAGAAAGAGGGCTCATCAGCGATAAATGGGATCAAAGGTTAGTAACAAACCCTATAGCTAGCTAGCTAGCTAGCTAGCTTTATGGCTAGATAGATAAATAGCTAACTAGCTAGCTCGCTGGCTAGCTAGCTAGATAGCTAGATACGTAGCTAACTAGGTAGCTAGCTAGATACGTAGCTAACTAGGTAGCTAGCTAGATACCTAACTAACTAGGTAGCTAGCTAGATACCTAGCTAGCTAGATAGCTAGCTAGCCAGTGAGCTAGCTATCTCTACCTAGGTGGTTAGCTACCGAGATAGCTAGATAGCTAGCTAGATAGCTATATAGCTAGCTAGCTAGACACATAGAAAGATAGATACATCGTTATTTAGCTCTTTTTTACTTAATTCAATTTTATTTATTTTAATTCAATGAATCAAATCAATTACTTTAACTAATTTAATTAATTTGTCTATTTATTTGTTTTATTTGTTTATCAGAACTCTAGGAGAGCACTTCACTTCTCAATACGGCTGGGATTTGCTCGCTGCGCGATCCGTCTGGGCGTTCGGGCCTGGGGATAAAGGTAAAGAAATTAATTTAATTAATTTAATTAATTTAATTTAATTAATTTAATTAATTTAATTAATTTAATTTAATTAATTTAGTTAATTCAATTAATTTAATTAGATTTAATTAATTTAATGCAATTTAATTTATCTTGATTTTAGTTTGTCTTACTTGGCTATATTTATATTCATTATGAATTAACTGATGATGAATAAAAAGCAGCAAATAAACAGATAAGCAAATTATTAATTTGTTAATAACTTTCTAAATCCGTAATAATAAATAAATAAATAAATAAAAATTAATTAGGTTTTTAAATGTTATGTTTGCTTGCTGGCTAGCTAATGCATTTGTATTATTTATTTATTTATTTATTTATTTATTTATTTATTTGTTTGTTTGTTTATCTGTTAGTCTGTTTGTTTCTTTATTTTTTTGTGCTTGTTTGTTTACGTATTTGTTACTGCATGGATATCATAACGTGCCGACAACTAAGTAAATAAATAAATAAAATAAATAAATAAATAAATGATTTAATAATTAATATATAATTTAAACAAATTATTAATGTTTATTTATTCTTTATATTTATTTATATTTATTTATTTTTTAGGCTCCTGCGTTTTACTCGGCGAAATTTTTAACCCCGAATTTAAACGCCTCGTCTCTCAAGAGAAGTCCTCCTTTCTCTCTTTTAAAGAAAGCGTTATTCAAGTGCGTTTGTTATTAATAAACTAATTAATTAATTAATAATTAATTAGTTAATTAGTTAATTAGTTAATTAAATAATTAGTTAGTTAGTTTGATTGTCTATACATTGTTTATTTGATTGGTCTATCTGTACTTTCAAGAGAAAACTTCTTTTCTTTCTTTGAAACTCATTTTTATTTTAATTATATTTTAATGCATAAACAATTTATCTACTTTAATTAATTATTTAATTAATTTTATTTAATCGTTTGATTTATTTGTTTGTACGTCTCGATGTTTTTCGGGTTCGTGTATATTATTATATTTTAATTTATTTATTTATTTATTGTTATTTTATTTATTGTTCTTTTTTATTAATTAGCTGATCTCTTTAATTTATTTATCACTCGTTTATATTATTTCTTTTTATTTTATTGTCTTTCTTTGTTTGTTGCAATCATTTCCTTCTTTATTCTTTTTGTTGTTCATTGTTTTGTTTTTTTGTTTTGTTTATTTGTTTGTTCTTTGTTTTTTAATTTTATTTATTTATTCGTTTGTATTTGCTTTGCTGCATTTCTTCTTCTATTTTCTCTTTGCTGTTCCGCTCCGCTTCTGCATGCAGTAAATAATTAATTGCATGCATTAAATAACGACCTGCATGCATTAATTGCATGCATTAATTGAATGCATGCATTAAATGATTAGTTTGCATGCATTAAATAACGAATTGCATGCATTAAATAACGATCTGCATGCATTAAATCAATTATATAACGCATAAAATGATTAATTGCATGCATGAAATAACTAAATGCATGCATTAAATAACTAATGTTCTACATTAAATGATTAATTGCATGCAGGGCTTTCAATGGGCAACAAGAGAAGGCCCTCTAATCGAAGAAAATATAAAAAATGTTCGGTTTAAACTGCTGGATGCAGAAATTGCGAAAGATCCTGTCAATAGAGGAGGAGGCCAAATCATCCCCAGCGCCAGGTATTATAAATAAATAAATAAATAAATTAATTAATTAATGAATAAATAAATAAATAAATAAATAAATTAATTAATTAATTAGTTAATTAATTAATTTATCTATTCATTTAGTTAAAATAATAATTTAAATATCTGTATCTATCTATATATATATATATATGTATATATTTGTATATTTATAATTATATTTATATATCTTACCCAGCGCTATTACTATTATGAATTAATTAATTAATTAATTAGTTAAATTATTAATTAGTTTATTAATTACTTTATTAATTGATTGATTGATTTATTAGTTAATTTATTTATCTAATATATAATATTGCTTGTTTTTTATTCAATGATTTACGCGAGGGTATCGAACTCTTAAATAAACGGTGGTGCTTGCTGTTGCTGCTGCTGTTGCTGCTGCTGCTGCTTCTGCTGTTGTTGCTGCTGCTGCTTCTGCTCCTGCTGCTTCTTCTGCATTTGCTGCTTCTGCTCTTGCTGCTTCCGCTACTGCACTGCTGCTGCTACTGCTGCTTCTGCTGCTGCTGCTGCTGCAGGCGCGTAGCTTACTCAGCATTGCTGCTCGCCACACCTCGTTTGCTGGAGCCTGTGATGTTTGCGGAAGTACAATGCCCAGCAGATTGCGTCTCCGCTATATACACCGTACTCGCAAGGTCAGCAGCAGCAGCAGCAGCAGCAGCAGCAGCAGCAGCAGCAGCAGTAGCAGCAGCAGTAACAGTGGTAGTAGTAGTAGCAGTAGCAGTAGTAGCAGTAGTAGCAGCAGTAGCAGTAGCACCAGCAGCAGCAGTGCCAGCAGCAGCAGCAGCAGCAGTGGCAGCAGCAGCAGTGGCAGCAGCAGCAGCAGCAGGATCGGCTGCTGCTTTGCCTTCTGCTTTGAGTGCAGCAGCAGGTTCTTGCAGTAGCTGAGTGTGTCCATAGCTAGCTCCTGGTACATATCTTCATTGCTTCTGCATGTGCTTCTGCTGCTGCTGCTGCTACTGCTGCTGCTACTGCTGCTGCTGCTGCTGCAGACGGCGTGGAAACGTTGCGCGGGATATGCCTAAGCCGGGCACTCCGCTGTATATTGTGCATGCATATCTTCCTGCTATTGAGTCGTTTGGCTTCGAAACAGACCTCAGGTATCCTTCTGCTGCTGTTGCTGCTGCTGCTGTTGCTTGATCTGCTGCTGTTGCTGCTGCTGCTTGATCTGCTGCTGTTGCTGCTCTATTGAATCATTCGGCTTTGAAACAGACCTCAGGTATACTGACTCTTCCTGCTGCTGCTGCTGCTGCTGCTGCTGCTTGGGCTGCTGGTGCTGCTTGTTCTGCTGCTGCTGCTGCTTCGTTTGCTGCTGCTGTTGCTGTTTCGATTGCTGCTGCTGTTGCTGCTGCGACAAATGTCTTCACATATTTATGTAGATAAATAAATAAATAAATAAATAATTTAACTATCAGGATGCATACAAGCGGACAAGCGATGTGTATAACAGTCTGTATAAATATATATAAATAAATATATTTATATATTTATTATACATATATACATACATATTTATATAGATAGATAGAGAATTAATTACCGAATATGAACAACGAGTTAATTAATTGATAGGATAATTTGTTTATTCGTCAGGACGCATACAAGCGGCCAAGCGATGTGCCTAACAGTGTTTGACTCGTGGAGTGTAGTGCCGGGCGACCCCTTAGATAAACAAATCGTCTTCAAACCGCTCGAACCCTCTCCCGCCCCGCACTTAGCTCGCGAATTCCTGCTTAAAACAAGAAGAAGGAAGGTATACAATCCTCTCAACATCCTCATGCTGCTGCTGCTGCTACAAGTGCTGGTTATGCTGCTGCTGCTGCTGTTGGTGATGCTGCTCATGATGCTGCTCATGATGCTGGTGATGCTGCTGATGCTGCTGCTGCTGCTGCTGCTGCTGCTGCTGATGCTGCTGATGCTGCTGCTGGTGGTCGTGGTGGTGGTGCTGCTGCTGTTGATGCTGCTGCTGCTGCTGAAGCTGCTGGTACTGCTAATGCTGCTGCTGTTGATGCTGCTGTTGATGTTGCTGTTGATGTTGCTGCTGCTACTGTTTTTGCTGCTCGTTGTGGTGGTGCTGTTGCTGTGTTTGCTGTTGTTGTTGTCGCTGTTTCTTTTGCTGCTGCTGCCGTTAGCTGATGATGTTCTTGCTGCTGCTGCTGCTGCTGCTGCTGCTGTACGAATTGAAAAGAGCAAAGATATAATTAATATATTTGTTTGATATATAAAATAAGTATACCTGCATTGTATTAAATATATTTGAGTAAATAATAGACATAAAATGAATATAATTAATTAAACTGCAGACAACAAGATGATAAGTACAATAAAACAAACAAATAATAAAAATAATTATTTAATTTAGTTTATTTTTATTTTCAGGGTCTAAGCGAAGACGTCTCTATTCACAAATTCTTCGACGACCCGATGCTGCTCAGCATTGCGAACAACCTCCACCAATTCTTATAATCAATTCAAACTGCTGCTGCTGCTGCTGCAGCTGCTGCAGCCGATGCTGATGCTGCAGCTGATGCTGATGCTGTTGCTGCAGCTGATGCTGTTGGTGCAGCTGATGTTGTTGCTGTTGCTGCAGTTGATGCTGCTGCTGCTGAGGATGATGATGAAGCGGGTGCGGCTGTTGTTGCTTCAGCAGCTGCAGCAGCAGCAGTTGCTGCAGCAGCAGCAGCAGTTGCTGCTGCAGCAGCAGCAGCAGTTGCAGCTCTAAAGGAACGGGCTGTCTGCAGGCTGTCATTCGCTATTCATATCCACTGCGGCAGCGGCAGCAACACAGCAGCAGCAGCGACAACAGCAGCAGCAGCAGATAGCTTTGAGGGATTGCTACTGAGAGCAGCAAACTGACGAAGGGGTTTATATTTGTTTGTTTTATTATTTATTTTCTTTTCGTTTTAAACAGAGCCAATTGGCTGCCTTAAACCTTTTGGGGCTTCCTTCATCCCTTTGCTCTGCTGCTGCTGCTGCTGCTGCTGCTGCTTCTGGTTCTGTTGCTGCTGCTGGTTCTGCTGCTGCTTCTGGTTCTGTTGCTGCTGCTGCTGCTTCTGTTGCTGCTGCTGCTTCTGTTGCTGCAGCTGCTGCTGCTGCTGCTGCTGCATGCATTTTGCGTATACTACGAAGACAATAAAATAATATTAAAAAAATAAAACAGTTTTAATAATAATTAACTTAACACCAAAATAAATTAAATAAAATAATTTATTTATAAAATTATTTTTATATTAATTTACAGTTCAATGTCTTTATGATATAAATATATTAAAAATAACACAAAATATGCAGCAGCAAATATAACAGATGCATGTACACCCAAATAGAGCCTTCTGCTGCAGCAGCAGCAGCAGCAGCAATTAATAAAAAATGAGAATATAATAAATAAGTATTGCTTTAATAGATAAAAACACTTACTAATTATATTTTTATTTGATAAATAAATAACTAAATTTTATATAAATAAAATAAATAAAACAAACAAAACAGACAGAGAAACTCTTCTTAACATTTAATAAAAATAGATTTGCAATCGATGTCTCTTCTATTGAGGCTTTGCTTTGCAGCAGCAGCAGCAGCAGTAGCAGCAGTAGCAGCTGTAGCAGCAGCAATAGCAGTAGCAGTAGCAGCAGCAGTAGCAGTAGCAGCAGCAAGAGCAGTAGCAGCAACACTAGCAGTAGCAGCAACACTAGCAGTAGCAGCAGCAGCAGCAACAGCAGCAACAGCAGCAGCAGCAGCAGCAACAGCAGCAGCAGCAGCTGCAACACCAGCAATAGCAGTAACAACAGCAACAGCAGTAGCAGCAGCAACAGCAGCAAAAGCAGCAGCAACAGCAGCAACAATCGGTAGGAGAGACAAAAGCAGAGTTAGATAAATGCTGTAAAGAAGAATATGCTGGGGGTGTTGGCGGCTCTTTAATTAATTAAATTTAATTATTTTATTTAATTGCATGCAAAAAACATTGCGCATGCAGCAATTCTAGCTGCTGCTGCTGTTGTTGCTGCTGCAGCAACAGCAGCAGCAGGTGTTTTGTAGGCGTAAGCGGGCCTTTTGTCTGTGATTGTTGTTTATTGCTTCTCTCTGTCTGTTTGATTATAAGCCTTTAATTAGTTTTTAATTGCATAAAACAAATAAAATAGAGTAATAACTCTTTATATCTACTGCAAACAAAACAAAAAAAAAACAGCAGCAACACCACTGGGGGGTGTTGCGGTCGGTGGGCAGCGGCGGCGGCGGCAGCAGCAGCAGCAGCAGCAGCAGCTCAAAACTAATTCTTTGTCTTTTTATATCTCTTTTAGGTTTTACACTCATAACAACGCCTGGCGTTGCAGGGGCCTCCAACCCGCATTGCTACAGTGTACATACACTGCTGCTGCAGCAGCACAGACGTTAAGTTCGGCAGCAGCAGCAGCTGCTGCTGCTGCAACTGCTGCTGCTGTTACAGCTGCCCTTGTCTAATCAGCTGCTGCCACATCAGCAGCAGCAAGCTGCAGCCGCAACACCGAGCTGCAGCAGCAGCACCGGGCTGCAGCAGCAGCAGCAGCAGCAAGCTGCAGCAGCAGCACTGAGCTGCAGCAGCAGCAGCACTGAGCTGCAGCAGCAGCAGCAGCAGCAGCAGCACGCAGTACAATGTGCGGAGACACTCATGTCACCTCCGGGCCAGGGCCTCTCTCCTGCTGACTCAGGCGGCGCTAGCAGCAGCAGCAGCAGCAGCAGCAGCAGCAGCAGCAGCAGCAGGCGCAGCAGCAAGAAGGCCCCCTTAGTCCAACGCAGCCCCAGCCCCGACATCGACCCCTGGGCTGTCATTTTGTCTCCTGAGCCACGAAGGGGACACAAAACCAGTAGCAGCAGCAGCAGCAGATATAGCAGCAGCAGCAGATACAACAACAGCAGCAGCAGCAGCAGCAGCTCCAATGCACACGCATCGTTGCACACAGGCCGGATAAGCCTTAACAACACCCCCAGCGGCAGCAGTAGCAGCAGCAGCAGTAGCAGCAGCAGCAGCAGCAGCTCCAATGCACACACAACGTTGCACGCAGGTCGGAGAAGCCTTAACAACACGCCCAGCAGCAGCAGCAGCAGTAGCAGCAGCAGCAGCAGCAGAAGCAGATATTGGGGCTGCAGCAGCGGGACCAATGATTGGAGTAGTCAAGGCAGAAGTCACAGCAGGAAGAGCTGGTGCAGCAGCAGCAGCAGCAGCAGTAGCAGCAGCAGCAGCAGCAGCAACTGGGGGTTCAGCAGCAGCAGCAGCAGCAGCAGCTGGGGAGCTGGGGTGAGCTGGCTGGAGCGCTGCAGCACCATTGCTGCGGTGTGCCGCAACCCTGAAACGAATACGCAGCTGCAGCAGCAGCAACAGCAAGAGCAGCAGCAGCAGCAGCAAGAGCCGCAGCAGCAGCAGTACGGCTGGCAGCAACAATGGAGCACAATTTATTCGTCGCCCGACTGGCAGCAGCAGCATCAGCAGCAGCAGCAGCAGCAGCTGCCCCGTAGTTGGGCCCCGCAGCACTACGCGCAGCAGAGTGAATTGCTGCAAGAAGCAGGAGAGCTGCAGCATAACGACTGGGAGCAGCAGCAGCAGCAACAGCAGCAGCAGCCGGAAGAGCGGCCGCCACAAACTGCCGAGGAGCATCTGCGCAGATGGGAGCAGCAGCAGCAGCAGCAACAACAACAGCAGCAGCAGCAACAGCAGCAACAGCAGCACTCCGACCCACAGCAGCAAGGCTACCAACACCAATCTGGCTGGCTGCATCAGCAGCAACAACAAGGACAGCAGCAAGGATGGCAGCAGCCGCAGCAGCAGGAAATAGATTGGCTGCAGCAGCAGCAGCAGCAGCAGCAAAACAGTGAGCAGCAGCGGTGGTATGAGCAGCAACAAGCGTGGCAGCTGCGTTACGAGTGGCAGCAGCAGCAGCAGCAGCAGCAGCAACAGCAACAGCAGCAGCAGCACAATCCCAGCGGCTGGGCTCAGCAGCAGCAAGCATGCGACGAGCAGCAGCAGCAGCAGCAGCAGCAGCAGCACACGCACCGGCAGCCGTGGCTTAGTCAGCAATGCCAGCGTGGCTGGGACTACCAGCAGCAGCAGAGCCCAAGGCAGCAGCAGCAGCAGCAGCAGCAAAGCCCATGGAAGCAGCAGCAGCAGCAGCAGAGCCCAAGGCAGCAGCAGCAGCAGCAGAACCCATGGCAGCAGCAGCAGCAACAGAGCCCATGGCAGCAGCAGCAGCAGCAGCAGCAGCAGCAGCAGCAGCAGCAGAACGCAAGACTTCCAGGAGTTGCAGCTTGTGATTTCTTCGGGGCCTCATCGCCCACTCCTCCTCCCCCGCCGCCCCCTCTCCCGCAGCAGCAGCAGCAGCAGCAGCAGCAGCGGCAGCAGCAGCGATGGGAGCAGCTGCAGCAACAGCTCAGTCCTGCTGCGGAGTCTCCCTTTGCTTTCATTTCGCCGAGGCGCTGCAGCAGCAATTCATTTGGTGGAGGCGGCCTTGCTCAATCCAGCAGCCACGCGTCTGCTGCTGTTGCTGCTGCTGCTGCGGCTACGGCTGCTGCTGCTGCTGCTGTTGCTGCTGTAGAGACACGGCAGCAAAGCGAGCAGCAGCAACGGCAACAACAACAACAGCAGCAGCAGCAGCAGGTCGTGGATTGGCTGGTCCAGGGGCGCTCAAGCGAGTCTCCCTTC